CCTGCCCACCCGGGGGAGGCGCTCGGCGGGTCCCCCCGGAGCGGGACCGCGGGCACTGCTGGCCTCCGTCATTCCTCTCCGGAGCCCCAGGGAAGCGGGGACAAGAGCAGAGACCCAGCGGGAGCGTCCCCCGCTGCAGAGAGGGAAACCTGTGCGGGTGACGGGAAATACACGCGTCGTGTGCCTGGAACAGTTGGGAGAAGCTCATGAGATGACCTGGCAGAGTTGAGGACCCCCCTCTCTCACAGACCCACGCTCGCTGAGCCTTAAATACAAACCAAGGGTGCCCTGGCCCCTGGGGTGTGTCTAGGCCAGAAGAGAACGTTTATTCCCAGCAGACAGGGAAAAGTGTTTGTAAGAGAACTGGTTTGCTGAACTGCTCCAGTGGAGAGGTGGAAGTCCTTTTCCTTCTAAGTCTATGCCCAGACCTCCTTGCTGCAGGTGATGACCCAGCCTGAAGGGCAAGGAGGAAAAGGGACATGAGCTGTGAAACAGTGAGGTGGGAGTGAAACAGCTGGAGGTGGGAGTATTTGAAAAATCCTTTTTATGGGACTGAGGAGTGATTTATTTTTTTTTTTTAAAGGCTGGAACCAATGGATCCTTATTTAAATGATGGCAAGAGCCATCCTTCAATCCTGTATCATTAAGAATAGCTTCCAAATAATTGGTTTGTACCATAGGTGGGTACTTAGATACCGCCTTAGTATACCATAGAATCATAAACTCACTTAGGATTGAGTCCAACCATTCTCAAAGCATTATCCAGATCCCATAAGAAATTAAAGCCTCAGGTAAAGTATTGATGTACCAGATTTGCAGTTCTACTAGCATAAGGTAGAAAATGTTGTCCTTACAGAAAGGACTGACACACAGAATGTACTATTGAATGTATGATTACAGAAACACATGAAAGATTAGATGTGCTATCTAGAATAGTAGTCTAATTATACCTCTGTATGTTAAAACAAGGAGGCATTATTTAAACTGTAAAGAAAGAAACCAAGGGAACATAAAGAGCTCTTACTCTTAGTAGATGCTACATGCTGTTTAGTAAGGACTGGTTGAAATAGGGTAGCATTAAATTATCAACAGCCAACTTGCTCTTCTTTGTCTTTACTGCAATTACAGCAGCTGCACAGTAATATTGAAGTTAATATTTTTCCCTGCCAGAACAACTACCATTTGGAACTTAGACAAGTTTAATAGATTTAGCAAGGCTCAATATTGAGAGTCCCAAGGAAAGATAAAGACTGTTAATGAATAAAACCATGTGTCTGCCTTTCCATTGGTATTTGTACGTGCTAACAGTTAATTGTCCAGTTCCTATCCCAGCTATCGACCATCCTGTTTCCTCTTAATCAGCTGCTCAGCAGAGAAGCTTAATAGCAGTTGCCATGAACTACATGCATCCTTTGCCCTAGCTGCAATAAGAGGATATTTATATTTTAACTGCTAAGGTCCTCCTCTTTTTCTTGAAGGAGTAAAAAGATTCCATCAAACCTATTGTAGTCCTATGGGTAGGATTTTCCTTAAAAAGGCAGCTAACTGATAAAGCATGCACCAATAATACGTTACTTTTCCATAGCTGGAGAAGGTCTTCCACTTTCAGGGAACCACCACTGTTTTTAAAAAAAAATAATGCAATAGGTATTTCTATAGTAGTGTGCTGGCTGTCAAAGCTTATTCACATCCTGTCAAAGAAAAGAGTAACTGCCAGACGTCACGGATTTTGAAATAAGGGTGCACTTCGAGCACAGAAATAGTTGAGCTTATTTGGTACATTACTCTCATGTCCATTGGCTCCTTCCAGTGGCCTTCCCCAGGCGCTACAATCACTTAATCACCTAAACCCTTCCTTACCTAAAGTTCTCAAACTTCATTTAGCCATGCGTCCAGATACCAAAACAGAGACACACTTGTCTGAGCAGCACCAACAGCTTCCAGTAAGACATGGACAGAAAAACAGACTTCAGCCTTCTAAGTATTTCCCGTGAAGCTTGTTGGCCTCTGACTCCTCAGGCTTCTTGTACCTCACAGAAAATGCTACTTCAGAACACGGCGAGGTCCCATGGAGATTGAGTACAAGAGGCCTAATGCAAGAAAACGGTGCTGAGAGTTGTTACTGATGGCACTTGCTGGCAGTGTTTTACACAGCCTCCCCTGGCTAATGCAATCAACTCTCCATTTCAGAATACCAAATTGAGACAAGATCCAGAATATGATAGCTTCTGTTCTCCTGCAACAACTTTAGGATTTCTTTCTACACATTGTGCTCTGCAGCATCCACAAATACAAAAATATTACCCACACTCCCTAAAATTCGTGTTCTATAAAACTGAATTTTATAGGTGCTCCCATACAGTTGAACTCCCCTTTAAAGTGCCTCCAACCTAGTATTTATTCAAACTTAGTATCTCTAGGCAATTACTTCAAGCAGGCTCCAAAGTGTTCTCTACCTGCCATCTTAAGGTAAAAGTAATATACAGCTATTTGCTTATTCCAGCATATATCTTAGAAGTAACAATTGACACGTTACACTTTAAAGGAAATGGCTCTCTGAACTTGCTCTTTCCTCTGCCAAAACACAGCTCGTGACAGCTCTCTTCCTGTCTGGTAGCAGTGGGGGTAGTTGGGAAACATTGAATTAAAAACTAAAATTAAATGCATGCAATGAATTGAAAATAGAGTTAACTGTTGGTAACTTGACAGCCTAACTGAGCCTGTGCAGCAGCACAGTGCTGCACTGTTCATCCTCAATATGCCTATTCATGTCTGATTTCCATCAAAAGCATTCAACTTAACTATCTACTCACCCCTACTGAATGCATTCCAAACCCAGATTTATTTGCTGCTCTTCGCTGCTTGGTTTTGTATGTTGCATTGATTTGTACTCCTCAACAACTAAAAACACTATAAAAGATAAAGCTTTAATAAGTACACACCACTTAGCTCCCCTACAAGCTGGTTATATGCAAGGACTCATTCTTTTGTTACATTTGAAACAGTAAGATCCAACTTAACTGGTCCTTTTACAGACTAATGCTATGTGTTCAGTGCAGCACTGGAGGTAAAAGACATACCTGAGATTTTCCAGCATTCTCCATAGATTGGATACATGGACCACTAATCACACAAAGGATACTTCCACATTATAAAGTTACAGCAGACCTTGTTTTATTAGCACAAAAGCATAAATATCTATATAAGCTATTCACTGTCAGGTGTCACATTCTCAAAAAAACTAGCTGAGAGGACACACCTGTTTTAATTGCTGCATTTTAGTTTTATCTTACCTAAGCAACAGAGATGGGTGTCCATATACAACCCAAGAACTGCAGCATATTAAGATAAGGGTGAGAGGTCTTATAATATTTGCCAAGACACGTTGGATTTCAAGTTTCATCTGGTCTACCTAGTTTCTAAAGTGTGCCTATAGATTCTGACCTTTTAAGACTAACACAGTGAACAGAAATACTAGAAGAAATGCTATAGGAAATTAAAATCAGATGTAGCTGAGTTGGGGCAATATGCTCTGCCAGATACAGCTCTGTCTGTTTTAAGTTCAAGTACCAGCACAGGATTCCATCTAGTATGCATTGGAAGTTATTTCTGGAAAAGAATTGCTTCAGTGACAGCCTTGTGTGAAGATTATCATCAGTATATGAGACAGCTTGGTATCTGCACACCTCTATGTTTTTAGTTACTTCATTCTTTATGTACAGGGAAAGAATAAAAAAAATTCTGCAGAACAGTTTTGTACAAGCCTGAGCACAGCACTTACACCTTCAAAAGATGCTCCAAGAACACCTGAGCAGCAACAGCAGATTTCCAATACTGAATTATTCTTATAGTACCTATACCAGACATGAGTTACAACAGTCATTAGAAATAAATCAAACTTAGAATATCGTCTCTTTACATACTGATGGACAGTTATGAAAGAACTGAAGAAACGGGCCATTTCCTTGTTTATTACCACTTACATTTTATTTTACAGTATATTTGTGACGTTTTGTTACTATAAGCAAAGATCAGGGCTGTTTACAAATATAATGGCTGCCATTTGATGTAAACAATTAAAAAGTGTCTCTATTAAAATCTGACATCATGATTGTTTTATTAAATTGAATTACTCTTTGTGCCATCAGGTATTAGTGGAGAGGAACTAATTTAAGCAAAAATAGTTTTCAGAAATTAGATGTAGAAACTGAGAAGCCTGAATAAGATTTCTAAGACCACTCCCCCATCACTGTAAAAAGGAAGAAAGCAAATTCTTTCACTGACGTTGCAATGAAGAGTCAACCAAGTCCTTTTTTATTAAGGCTTCTTTACATATTATTGAATCCCATCATGCCTTTCATATTCCCAGCAGCACCTTGTTGAAATTGTCTCATCATTGACTGCAATCCTGCCATGCCACCTGCAGAAAATGAGAACATGGATGTGTTAATTAACTCTGAAGCACAGTTACCTTGCCTCTGAGGCCTCACTACAGCACACAGGCTATTAATAATACACAAATGCAAAAGTCCAAGATTGTCAAGCCAGGTTTAAATGGCTATCAGAAATGGACAAGTGAGCAGTTACAGAAAGGTCTGCAAAACACCAGGCTTAAAGTAGGCTTTAAGATGACCTAGACAAAAGAAAAAACCTTGAAAAAATGACCATTATAAATTGTAAGTCTTTTTTTAAAGTTGCTCTTATAAAATACAATCATTTGAGGCAAAGCTTTGAAGAGAAGGGAATTTTAGGAATACATTTGCTTTACTACAGTCATGCTTGAAGTCATCACTACACTGTTTCATCAGACACCACTCCAATTGCTTGTTTTGAGAGCCGAATCCAAGTGAATAGAATAGATTAAGCACTGGTAAGTGCAAGGCATTCATTAACATATTGACTAAACATTCCAACTCACTAGAAAGCCTAGAAATAAGTACTTAATGCTGATATATATTGCACACATTATCACATCACCATCCTCATTCTGTATTTCAAATGCTTCACTGTAACTGGCAGTCCTCTCTTGAAGCTGTAAAAAGCCAACACATACCCATATGATGCAGAACTCTTGGATCCATCATCTTTGCCATCTGTTGGTTCAGTTTGGCTAACTGAGATGGGTTCACATTCTTTGACATATCACCACCTGAAACAAACAACCAAGCAATTCTGGCTGACTAATATACAGAGCTAAAAAAAAAATAATCAGAATTTAACATAATTCTTCACTGAAATCTGTTTAAGTCTGTAGTCAAGTTACTACATCAGCCACTTAAGTATTCTAAGGATCAACAGTCCCTGCACCCCACATTACTACTACAATACTGACACTTCAGTCTGTGATGAAGTCTACACTGATAAAGCCAAAAATACAGTTTTCACTGCTCAGTTACACATTAGTATCATGAAGAACAGTGCAGCTTTTACCAGTTACATAAAAGAGCTTTCAAACATCACAAAAATGAGCTACATCTCACCTTCTCTTCTCCCAACACCTACTCAACATTTTCACATGTCCTCTGTGTTCACACATCAAGTGATGATCTCCCCATTGAGTTAATAAATGTTTTTCTTTTACTTTTTACCTTTGAAAAGTCCTTTGATGCCTCCCATCTTTTTCACCATCTGTGCAAACTTAGTGTATTGAGTCAAAAGCTCCTGAACATCTCTGGTAGAAACACCCGAACCTCTTGCTACTCTTTGGATTCTTCCTGGCTGTTTACTGAAAACTTTGGCACCATCTGTACTGTCAAGTTCTGCAATTACAGCGTGGGAAAGAAAGAGCCATGCAGTTACTGACATTAAAATATGTTACAGCTGGCAGCAAACTTGTTTTCATTATTGTTGAGCATTAGTTTTGAGCCAGAGAATAAAAATGTGGCTTAAAAAGTGACAATTGGAGAACGAGTCTTATAAGGATCATCTGAGGGAACTGGGACTGTTCAGCCTGGAGAAAAGGAGGCTGAGGGGAGACCTCAACACTCTCTACAACTGCCTGAAAGGAGGCAGTGGGAGGTGGGGGTTGGTCTCATCTCCCTAAAGAGACAAAAAACAGGACAAGAGGAAATGGGCTCAGGTTGCACCAGGGAGCTTTAGACTGGATATTAGGAAAAGCTTCTTCACTGAAAGGCTTGTTAAACACTGGAACAGGCTGCCCAGGAAGGTGGTTGAATCACCACCCCTGGGGGTGTTTAAAAGACATGTAGATGTAGTGCTTAGGGACATGGTTTAGCACTGACTTGGTAGAGTTAGGTTAACGGTTGGACTAGATCTTCAAGGTCTTTTACAACCAGAATGATTCTGTAATGCAGAATTTTACATAATTGAGATATAATATTCCAGGGAATGGTACTAGAGAGCTGCTATGTTAATATGCTAATTAACATGATGGAAAGCTGCTGTAATAAATTATGCTCTCACCATACTTAGTCACGAGCCATATTAATATGTTTAGCACAAGGGTAAGAGCATATTTCTCCTGCAAGAGTTATGGGAGGATTAGAAACACTACACCTTGAATTCCAGAGAGCAGGCTACCTCACTGAGTAAATTTGAGGGTAGGTAGGAATAAAGACAGCAATGACAGATTGAAGATAAATCTAGCTTTTTCACTTGTGAGTATTTGTGAGTGTTGATAATTTAGGCAGCACAGTTACAGTATAAAAAAATAAAAATACATTTATTTCCAACAGAATGCTTCAAAATCTCACCTATTCTACACAAGACAGAGAAGCAACAGGCAATTGTCAAGGTATCTCTCTAAATATTTACACTTATTCAAAAGGTTTTAGACATACACGTACTCTTTGCCATTTCTAAGAGTGACAAATGCTCCTCATAACTTTGTCACTGAAGATGCTACCTTATGTCCAACTTGTAAATAAGCTTGTTTAACAATAGAAAAAAAATAGTGAGCAAAGTTTGTTTTACCTTGGTCATTCATACTGTCCATTATAGTCATCAGTTTCTTTAGCCTTGCCATTGATTCCTGTTCATTGCCTTTACTCATGAAGTCAGTTCCAAACCCAGGGATCATACCCTTGTTTTAAAAATGGGAAGAAAAGCTGTGTCAGAATAGGCAAAGTTACTTTCAATTAAGCAGCCAGAAATACAGAAAGCAAGCTTTAGTTCAGAAGTTATGTATCACAGTAGGCAAATCATTCCACCTTCTTGAAAAACAAAGCACAGACTCTAACATTAGTTTTAATTAAGAGTAAGTTTACAGCATAAGTTTGACAAACATAAACGAAAATCCAATAAAATTATTTTTGGGATGACTAACCAAGATCTGACTGAATGGTCCCATTTTCATGATGTTTTGGAACTGTTCATACATATCTCTTAACGTAAATTGACCTGAAGTACAAAAAAAAAGTTAACAAAAGTCACACTAGCATTTTGGTCCTACTGTCCTCTCTCAATTATTCTTTCTATTTACAACATAAACACTCAACTGCTTAGATTAGATAAATAAACCTCTTCTCCACCACTAACATGGCTAAACTGTTTTAGATTGCACACGCTTAAGAGTTAAGCTAGTTATTCCGCAGTTATAGACAGTTACAGTCTTACGGAGTTATCATTCAAAAAAATTAACTCAATTTACTTGCCTGCCACATTAGAAAAAGAGTAACCATTCTTCACTATGCACATGAAACAAGTTCCTTGTCTCTACACATAACACAAATTAACTCAGTGATCTACATCTCTTCAAGAACCTGTCATGACTAGGTCATGGTAACATACCCACTATTCAGAGCTTGGAAATAACTTACCATGCTTGAGCTTTTCTATGAGTGCTTCATTATCATCCAACTTTAACTCATTTACTTTATCTATCAATCCTTCAATATCACCCATACCTGGGGAAAAGAAGAAACAATGAAACAAAACAGCACTGAAGTTAGCATTAAAATTTACACTCTGACTTTCTAGCATCCAATTCAAAGTGTCTTTTGAGTACAGTTTTACATAGTACATACCAAGAAGTTTGCTGATGAAAGGCTGTGTTTTGAAGGGTTCAAAGTCATCTATGTGTTCTCCAGTTCCAATAAAAATAATAGGACTCTTTGTGGCAGCAACTCTGCAGTAAAATAGATTTTATGAAATGGCCTCTCAAAAACCACCCATCTTTTGTACCACCTATTGACATAATGAACTAGGCATCATCAGCACAATGCATGCCCTTTAAAGTATCCTTCATACTCCTAGAATTATTAATGCAAAAACATCCAGAATTTAGGATGGCAGTTGACAGTAGCTGACAATATGTTAACTCTAAGTAGTACTTTGTAAAATACAAACTCCGCTTTGAAAATCTATCAACAGAAATATAAGTTGCTTATTTTCATTGCTGCATTTAACAATGCATTGCTGACAATATGTTAACTCTAAGTAGTACTTTGTAAAATACAAACTCTGCTTTGAAAATCTATCAACAGAAATATAAGTTGCTTATTTTCATTGCTGCATTTAACAAACTTGACAGGAAAGAGAAAGAAAAAAATCTCCATTTTATCCTAATATTGGGAGGTCAGATGAGACAGGCATTGATAACTTTTTCTATTCTGTAGAAACCTCCAAAAACAGACAGGAATCTCATTGTCAACAAGGAAAGAAACTCTGACATAAGAAATCAGAATCTTTTAATCAATCGATCATTTGCACTAACTTTTCCACTCTAGAGTACAGAACAAACACAGCAGACTTATCACACGAGTGCTTGACAACTAGAAGAAGCTTCTGGTATTTTCAATTTGCTCTTAAGTTTAGTTTTCCATCACTATGCTATAAATTACAGCAAAATACATATGGCAGTTTGTGAATTTTAACACTTGAGATCAAAATCAGACATTGATTTAGTAAGTCAATGTCAGTTAACTTTGACTGTTTTGACAAATTATCTCAGCTCCACACAAGTAATGTCATTGAAACACATCTGGAGGTAAGTCTGACATGCCATCATGTATTTTTTTTCTAGCCAATACAGTCTGTCAAGATACAGCTCATGGGAAGTCCAACAAGGATGGAATTTGATGAAGTATGACTGCAGACAATTTTTTTACCAAATTGCTAGAAACTGGCAACCCAGAAGTTTGTTTGCATCACAATTTTAAGACCATTAGCCTCTGACTAGCTAGAGTTTTCCCCTTTTTGGAAAAAAAATCTTGGGGATTAAACGAGAAGCAAAACTTACCAAGTAAGTCATATTATTCAGTCCAGATGTACATTTTTGGTAAAAATTCCTGCTACTTAAGATGCAATAAAAATAATTGCTTGATGCTATTTTAAGAAGACCTAAGTCTGTCAAGTGACAATGTACACTCTTGTATTGGAATTAAGTCATAACATCCAATTCTGATTGACATTAAGTACAAAAGGATGACCCTATCCACCAGAAGCAGAGTAAGAACAGAACTGTCACTGACTTAAATGTCAGGTTCTGTGCAGTGTGAGTTTCACAGGACAGGTTTCTGTGAGACACTAACACATTTCTTGCTGTCCATGCATGGCCAGATGTTGGAAACTTTTATATCACAATACTTACGCACTAAGAGCTCCACCTCCTTTTGCATGTCCATCAAGCTTAGTAACAATAACAGAAGCTACATCTACTTTATCTTTGAAAGCTTTAGCTTGAGCTTCACAAGCTTGGCCAATGGAAGCATCCATCACATAAACAATGTTATCTGGTTGCTAGAAGAAATGAGAGATACATAAATTATAATTTTTTGCATTCTTAAACAGTGTTGGCACATTATGTTCACTAGCAGAAATTATTGCAATAACAGTACATAAGGGCTGTGCAGTTTAAAACAAAAGGGCATTTTATGAAGAATACTGTCTAAGGACTATTTGAAAACTCTGATGCTGTATTACTATGTGAAAGACTAGTCTACAACACAGACTATTAAAATGTAATGGGTTTACAGTTATTACTTATGTTTTGAGTGATTTTAGTCAGTATTTGAGTTAATAAGCTATTAAGTATCTACAAGCAATTAATGGCTAACAACATTTTCCATTTGGTTTTTCATTAAGACATCCACTCCTCTGAAAACAAGATAGCCACTAGCAGGAGTTGTGTGGGAACTGTCATATTGTCATGCAAGGCCACAGAATCAAACCACCAACCAGACTTTTAAAATCCATACAAGAAATAGCAGCTTCATTTACATATCAAAACTGTTGAAAGTTATCCAGTCATCTTCTCTGTTTCAGGGCAATTATTCATGGCAATCACAGAAAATGTAGTACACATAGCTACAGAAAACCAGATCAGACTGGTTCTTTCATCTAGCTTCTCAATGCAAAGATCCTGAAAAGGAAAAGTTAAAGCAGGAACAGTAGCCTAGTTATGTGCAAGCATCCTTGAATTACAGATAAAAGAATTAAAATTGATGCTGTCAAGCATTGATAATCCAGCCCTTGTTTATTCATAACCATTTGTAATTCCTAATGTAATCTAGGAGTTAAAGTGCTGATGCACTCCAGATGAGCAATATTCACACAACATTAGGAGATAAACATAATTAAGTTGTAGTCAAATTACTTTAACACAAGTTACTGTATTTTCCCAAACTACTCACTATGGCATTAGCAACTTGTAACATCTCTTCAAACAAAGAGTCCTCCTGTTTGTGACGGCCACTTGTATCGACAATGATTATTTCAAAGTTTTCATTCTTAAATTTCTCAACACCTTCTGAGGCAATAATTACAGGATCCATTTCTGTATAACTGATCACAAAAAGAAACGTTAATATATATCCAATTCTTGTTTCCCAAAGAAACTAATTCAAACTTTCATCACTTGACTCTAAACTTGTTAACTGTAAATCCATCTGGATCTCAAGAGGGACTTCTTAAGTTCAGCAAAAAATGATAAAAAATGCACCTTCCTAAGCCATTTGTGTTCACCATTAAGTGAACTGAAGCACAAAGGACTGTGTCTCATCTGCTGAAGACTGCACTATGTTCTACTAGCCCTTCTCTGAACTAAGATTTATCTGAGCACCCAGACAGTATATATCCATTGAAGCCTAAGGAAAAGTTATTTACTGCTTTATAAAAGCTATTTCAGGTCCACTGCTGCCTCTGCTTGACAATAAAAATTAAGGGTCCAAAAATAATATCCTTTGTTCTGTAAAGATACTTCCTGAAAATCCGAATGTGCCTGCTAAAGACGTATAAACTGCTATACGCTGACAGAACATTCCAAGGAGTTATCTCTGGATGCCTGATCTCTTCTTACACTATCCCCACCTGCTACTACTGGCAGACAGTACACTGAACTAAACAGAATCTTCATCTGATCAGAGCAAATATTATAACAAAACCTAAGTAGTGAGGCAACACTGAATGAAGTTTAGGGTTAGATGTTCAATAGGAGACTTATCATTGGAGTTGAATCATGATCCAAACTGATTCTGAAAGATGCTTACCTCCCATAAAAGGGAATTCTTGCTTTTGTGGCGTTCTGCTTTAACTGGTCAAAAGCACCTGTAAGACAGGTATAGTCAAGGGACTATTAAAAAAAATTAAAAAGATACTTGTTAAGTATCAGCGATAAAGGACCACATAATTAAAGATTGTATTACCTGCTCTGTATGTGTCTGCACATATTAAACATGTCTTCCAGCCTTTCCTCTGATAGAAATATGCTAACTGTGAAAAGAAATCCAAAACAAGTAGTTACAGCAAAACCCCACTTGTAAAGGTGACATGGTGTAACAGCTTGTAAATCACTGAAATACATACAGGAGACAAAGTCAAGCCAGCCTTCCTGTAACAGAGACCACTTAGTAACACTGTACAAGTATGAAATATTAGCATCTCCATTATTTAGAGGAGTATGTTATCCATGTAATTATTAATGGTAAAACGAAAACAGCTGCTTGACTCTGCTTCTGATTTCAGTTTCCTGAGCTAGGAATAACTACAAATAATTCCAGTTCCCATTTTATTACCTGCATTCTACTTACTGTTAATACTGTTGATAGGACTAGCTTAAAGAAACTAAACAAAGCAGTAAGTGCTTCAATATCAAGCACTGTAATGCCTACAACTTGTACAGTGCTGTTTCTGTACTTCCAGAAGAAGGTATTTTCATTGCAAGAACATGTTTTAAAGTGATAAATGGAATTCTTACTTTCTTTTCCTTCCTTTCTTCTAACACTTAGCTTCACTGGTACAAAATAAATTCACAGAAGGTTTGTCTGATAAAAAACACACTCCCAAAATACAGTTAGCCTACAGAAGCACTGGGGAAGTCCTATGAAATCAGAGCAGTTCTATATTTGGTTTAGCCTACGTGTGAATCTCAGAAACAGATGACTGAAAAAAGCAAAGACACATCAGTCTTTTTCCACTGGATATTTCTTCCTCCTAACAACAATCATAAATAGGTTACAGCATTGATCCAGAGCACTCTTTTTTAGACTTAAAAATACAAACCCAAATTTCCTCAATGAATTTGTGTCTGAAAGGTTTCACACCACCCACTCATGCCTAACGGAGATGTCTAACACAGAGGCCAATTTCCACTGGCTCCCTTATATAGGCAATGGAAGGAGACAGGTTCCATTCATAGTACTGGTCTTAAACCCAAAATGCAAAGAATAGAAAGAATCTTTCTTACCCATAGACAGCATTATTTCATCAAGAGTTTAATTTTTAAAAACTCTTGAATCAAATCCAACAAGCCATAGATTGTCCTAAAAGACTTTGGGCAGTCATCTGATCTCAGAAACCCCTCTGAAAAAATATCTTGACATCATAATCAGTTAGTACTTTCCTACTAATGGAAACAGCACAGATCACAAGCAAATCCTACCAAAGGAGTCCCAGGAGCACCATCCTCCCCAAGGAAAAAAAAGAAACACCCACATGAACAGATTCTGTGCAAGTTACCTTTGAACAGGTCGTTGTTTTGCCACTTCCTTGCAAACCAACAAACATTATAATATTCTGTTTTCCTTTGGTAGGTGTCCATGCTTTGACTCCAGGATCCACAAGCTAAAGAACAAAGTATAATATATTTTGCAGAAATTAATTTCAAAAGCACAGAGCAGCCAGTGTCACAGTCATGCGAGCCATCTGGTTTTATATTCAACAGAGCTAACCAATTTTTGCATATTCTAGTATTAATTTGGCTTAGATGTTTGCTGATCTACAGTGAACAACAACAGCCCATGTAAGGTATCTATAGTGTTATGCATAATAGTCTACATAGTGTTATATGTAATAATTCTGTAACAGTAACTGAGTTAACTCCTCTCTAGCACCAAAGGCAGAGAAGCCCGTATATAGAGCACAGATGTTACAACCAACACAGAAACATGACCTCCACCCAAGCAGCACTGCTCAAGATGGACCTCTTCTGGTGAAAATTCTACAGTACAGAAGACTTTTTAGGGTTAATGCCTCACTTCTGGAATAAGTAGAAGGTGTACATACATTCCAAAGAGCCACCACAGACTACAGAAAAACAAGAGACTATACTGTTAACTGGACAGAGGACAGAACACTGATACCCAAGTGCTGATTTGACCAAGAGGGCAAATTAAAGAGGAATGTTGCCATAAAATGCTGGGTTGTTACTTAACACTTTTCAAAGGCTTGTAAGTAAGTTGAACAAGTTAGGGTAGAAAAGGGTGTTTCTGGGACAACCACAAACAGTCGAGAAGCTAACAGTACTTCACCCCTATTTTGTCTTTAAATTTCAATTGAAGAGTATGAACACCTGAACTTGAAGCTTAAATTGAAACTCAGAGAAGCCAGGAAGCAATTCCAACCAGAATACTACTGCTTGCAATAGTAACAAGCCTTATAACAGAGAACTTAACTGCAGGTACCACATAATTACCTTCAAGCTTGGCATTGCTTCCACAGCTCAGGCTGAACACGAAAAGTGACATAATACAAAATTCTGAAGTCCTACCTTAACAAGTTCCTTAAAGACAGCATGCTGAATCATTTTTCTTTTGTTAAGGCCAGATGCCATTTCTTCAAGATCAATTGCAGACCTGAGTTTAGGAAAATCATGAAACACCATCATTGCTTAAAGCATCACTCTAACTGGGTAATAAAGGATGGCTTTGCAACCAGAACAGCAGTTTTCAGACAGGATGTATTTAAGAGACATGTGTTGGACACATTACTTCTTCATACAGGACAAAGACAGTTTTCTAAAATACCTGCATCTTTCAGACTTGCATCTACTTGAATTGCATATCTGAAAATAGCCAAGGTAGCAGTACTGGTCTATTTATAGTACAGATCTATTTATAGCCAGCACAGAACATGTGAAGATGAGGTGTCTGGGAAGTAGCAAAACTTGTTTATTAAACCACTCAACTGATGACAGCACTGTTTTTTTTTTTTAAACACAACAGCAATAACTGGCTACGTTTGATGAAGACCTCTTTGATGGAACTCGCTAGACATTTAGTTCAAGCTGTATTTGTTTAACTGGATAACTACATTAAGGCAAACTGGATGCATCTAAGAAAACCAAAGAGTTATTCTTCTGTAACATCAAATTGCAACTTTCACAAACATTACAAGTTAAATGCATTTTGATCATTTCACTTACTTGACATTTTCTCTGAGTTGCTTCACAAGTTTAATATTAACATCAGCTTCCAGTAATGCTGTACATACTTCTTTTAACATAGCATTTAAAACCTTTGGAGTAGAAAAGAAAAATGGTTTTACAATACACAGCATTGGCTAGGCCAGCATCAGTTCAAAATAAGAATGTGAAAGTGCACTGATGATACAAACAAGGCTTTTACAAATTAAATGCATGCAAACCTATAATTATTTTGACTGCCACAAAAAAAAAATAAATGCATTTGTTTCTATATCAATGCAATTTAAATTTGACAAGGTAATACTAGAAAAAAAGGGTCCTCAATTTGCAACATGCACACTATAACCAAGTAACACAGAATACTTCCTATTCCATTAAGGACAATAGCTGCTTGCAGATGAGCTGCTTGCTACCTTGCAAGCAGGTAGCAAGACTTCCTAAACTTCCCTCCAGGTACTCCTCAGAGACAGCTGTTAACTGAAGCCACAAAATAATTCTCTTAACACACAGTCTCTGTAGATAAAAGTATTCCTAAAATGCAAGATGGACATGTTGCTATCTGCATTGTCAAAGAAAACTGAACTGCTCTGGGGTACGCCTTTCAAGCAAACAGATGCCCCAGGAAGCCAGTTTAGTACTTCTAAGACTTTTCAAAGTGAAAAGTCTCAAACAAAAATATTTTTTGAAAGTAACATCTGCATGAAGTCCTCATTTGCACAGCTTGAGCTCTTGCAGGCCAAAAGTTTCTACTGCTGAAAAAAAAAATAAAACTGGGCTACATTTGATTCAGCTAGGGATTTGTTCTCTCCCAGATAAAGATCTTTTAAAATCTCTCCTCTGTGCACAAGTTCCAACATTATAACCCTTGATAAGCCTACTTTTTACTTTAAGCCACCTATCTGTCTACTTCAAGAGTTTCAACCCATTCATTTACTTGGAGGCACTTCTACACCATCACTTCAGTTAGCTTTCCATCTTGCTTTTCAGTCCAGGAAACACTTATTTCTAATTTCTTAATTAGAAAAAAAATACAGACTACACCAAGTCAAACAGCTTAGAGAACCGCACACTGTATTGGCTTGAATACAAAGGCAGCAAACAACATTTCAGATGGCAAAGTTCATATGGAAAACTATTTGTTCTTTCAAACTTTGACTTCCACCAGCCTAGTACACATCTCCAAGGTCTAGCTGCACACACATAAAAATTAGAGCACTCTACATAGTTTTACAGTACATAGGTACATGTTGCCTCCTCCAGCATCACCTTCTCAGGACACTCATCTGCGTAAGTACAGCCACGAGTTCACAGACCTTTTGGGACCCGCTATGTCTGAGGTGACTGTACATTTCTAACTCTGGTTCTAATTTTTGCAGTACTACCAGGGGATTAAAACATCTGGCTAGAAATTCTACTTGATTGAAGAAAGGAGCCTAAGGTTAAGACAAAGTTACTTTAGAACTTTTTCCCAGGACTTGGCCTCCTGCAGGTTAGTGCCACCACAGAGGCACACTACATACCTCCTCATTGATAATGGTAGCATTGCTCAGCGAGCGCAGCGCTGACGTTATCTTTCTTCCAAGGTCTGCTAGAACCATTTTGGCGGCTTCAAGGACAACTCAGGAGAATCTGCAAAACAATTAAAAATTAAGTTTAAAGCTAGTTGAAGCTATGCCTTTGCAAATCAACTAATTCTAGTATTTTTTGGGTTAAGAAACCTGCTTTACATTCCAGAAAGTGCATAAGTTTTACTTCTTTAGTTATTTTAAGGAAATATTGGCCTGAAGTTAATTTTAGGCTATCCTGATGGCCTACTTAAGAATAGAGATACCCCACTGCAATTAGGAAGCATTTCACTGTCTGGAATTTTTGTGCATTGTGGATTTTGTGCATTCCGCATGAAAGAACAGTCCAGACAGACTTCCAAAAAGAATGCTAACTGCTTTTTATCATCTTATCAACATGTTACATGACAAGCAGAATAGCCTAGAAGTTGTGTATCCTGCAAAGACCTGAAGCAAAGTATTTTGCCAGCAAAATTCAACATTATTTATTGGTTCTATTTTATCTATCTTCCACTAAATCAAACTGAATTTCCCATTTCAGTAAGCCTACATACTTGTACTTTAATAAGCAAAATTCATGTTGTATTTTTTAACAGCTTTATTGGAAAATCATCCTAATTTTGTTCACGGCAGACACAAATCCTAAATATAAGCCTAAAGTTATCTCAACTTATAGTTAGGAACCCATAAGAGTTAATTTCTGAAGCACACACAGTCAACATGCTAAACCACTCCACCTCCTATACAAGGTGGCAAGATATTCAGGAGAGGGCAGACACAAATCTATAACTCTGGAAAAGGGCAAACCAGTATTTGTCTAAAGAACAAAAGAAGTTGCAAGACCACAGTTACTGCAGAAATGGAGCACTTCAGATACTTCGTGTCTGTCTTCTAATTACACAGTTGTTTTCTCATACCCAAATGAAACTGCTCCCTTGCTGACAGCTGAATTCAGAATCTCGCATTTGAGATCCTCCTTTCAGAACTGAAAGCAAACTCCCCAATAATGACAGCTTCTGTAACCCAAGAAGTTGAGTTTTCAACATTTTGGGAACTTCCTCCCCCCTTCAAAAAGTAGAGAGGAAAACAGACAAGAAGGGCTGGTGCACCTGGTAGAAAAATGTGTTATTCCTGTCTTACTTAGAGAGTGCCAGCCTAGGTGCAGCTCATATACACAAGCTGAGATTTACTAGCTGCACAGACCCCCAAAAGCAAGGTTTGTGTTGTGTTTATTAGGTGAAATGAGTCATTCACATAAGCCAACCTTTGTGCTTTGCCTACTTGAGAGTTAATATTATCACAGATTTGGCAGGCTGAAAATAACCAACGAAAATACAACTGCCAGTCCAACCCCTCCAATACTATGCCCACAACACAGAAGAAAATCTTCAGAAGTTGCAGAAGATGAAGCATAAGTAATTAATTCTAAGCACAGGCCTCAGCAAATGATGCAAAATCAATGTATTTACCCATTTTAGATTGAATGTACATAGTATGTACAAGCAATTCCAAAGTGGCATGCATTACGCTGTCATCTCGATATTTCATTAAAAATTAGTCTATGCTTCCTGAAGAACTCTGCCCACAGCATATCTGCAGATCAGTACACTAACAGATTTGGACTTCTACCTTCTTACTTTGCTGGAACAGGCTATCTACTGAAGTGCAAAAACTCCAAGACTTCCTTATGAGGCATGTAAGACATAGTCTTGCAGAATATTTCTGAAAAAGCATTAGCACCAGTATGATCTACCAAAGGGTGTCAGCAAAACAGATGTTAAAAACTTGTTTCCAACTTGTTTCCCATGAAAATCACAATGCAAAAAAAAACAACCACTTTTGAAATAGCATAGCATCTTGGTGAGCTTTAAGCTACTGAAACTGCAGCTGCAGACAAAACTTGATTAGAACACTTGGCTATAGGAGCTAAGAAATTTTACAAGATGACCAACATACAGCAGCTAGGTGAACACTCAATATTTAGCTTGCAGAGTTCTACAAACCTCCAAATACAAGTTAATTATGCTGTAATAAAAAAAATGTTTCTACTGCAGAACTCCAAAAACTTCTTCCAAAAGCCTTACAAGAATAACACAAATACTGTGCTAAGGGAGTTTGAGCATTCTACTATCAACTGCTTTCTCTAGCACATTAAGGATTCATAAGCCATCAGAATTACTAAGGGATGCCAAGTACAGAAATGAATATAACTTTTCACGTACAGTCCATCCAAGCTGTGAGCCACAGCACAGACAAAAATACATATAAGATGCCTTAGCAGGTGGCCGAAAGGCATTAGCAATGACTGCACTGCAGAATGTGTATATGCTGCGTTCAGACCATCTGTAGTTCTGGAAGAGTTTTTTAACCTCGCTGCAGCAGTGCACATATGCACAGACGAGCTTCAGACCTGGCAGGGCTCCACAGTAAACAGGCCAGGCCACATCGAGCAGCCTTGTGCTGAGCAAGGCCATGAGCTCTGCACAGTCTGAGGTTCCTTCAGCAGAAGCAGCCCGGGGGGCCTCGGCACTGAGCTCTCAGGTCATTGTTCTACTGCAGATTCCTAAAACCTCTTCACTTACTTCTGAAAAGCAGGGGCAGAACAAAATAGAAAGAAGAAATGGGGGACTTGTATTAGCAAAACATAGCAAAACGTCAGCGAAACAACTCTGAGGAGACAGACTGCCTATGCCTGCCAATCCATCTGGTACGAACTGCGAACCAAAATTGGTCTAGATAAGCTAACAGTACACTTAATTGTACAGAATTTATAAAAGACAACAGCTTTAACAGATAACTCCTTAAAGGTAACAAGCAAAGGAGATATTTACCTAAAGTCTATACAATAAAGTTATACTAATATACGCATACATGGGTTAAAACCACAGAGAGTCCAACACTGAAAAAAAGGCTGATTCACCACTGGAAACAGACTGAGCTACTGCACTGACCCTCAGCCCCAACTTAGTAGCTTTCACCTTCCAAAATCATCTGGCCAAGGGATGGAAAGGCTCCCCTGGGCCGCAGAAGAGACTATCTTAGAACCATAGAACTGTTACAGGTGGAAGGCACCTCACAGATGATCCAGTTCCAACCCCCTGCCAGGGGCAGGGGCACCTCCCGCCAGACCAGGCTGCTCAAAGCCCCATCCAGCCCCAGCCTCGCTCGCGGCCTGGCGCTCACTTCCACGGAAAAGGGAAAAAAAACAGCGACGACACAGGCTCAGATACGTGCCCGGGCCCCGCCTTTCCCCGCCGCGCACCCAGGGCTGCCCAGGGCCGAGAGTCCAGCCGGGCTGG